AGGAATAAGTACTCCAATTCCTTTCGCAACAAGATGAGGAACTAGGTTGTACAAGAAGCTTTAAAGAAAGCTTTTGAAGGAGAGGGGCAGAAGAACCATGCATTACCCACCAGGATTTAGTATCTAATGTCCATCTATCTTCAATTGAGTCAAAAGAAGCAAAATTATGAGCTTTTGATGAAAAATCAGCATATTCAAGAGAAACCTTTTTTCTTTCTTCGACTGTTGTGAAAAGCTTTCTTAAACATTTATTTCTTTCCATAGAAATTTCTTCATCCTCATGTGGAGAAATTCTATTTGGAGCCTCTTGAAGCTATTTATCACTGTAGTACCTATGAATAAATAAAAAAGTTAATAGATAAAAAAATTTAGTGACAATCAAATTATTTATAAATAAATAATAAAAACAAATAAATATTTAATAGGCTAATTTTACCTAGGATTCAAAGAGTGAGCCTTGCAGTGAAGAGGGGTGCAACTCTTAGTCCCCCTATCAACTAGTATAGAATAAACAACTTCATAAATTGTTGATATATCATTTAACTCTTTCCTTCATATCTATATATAGACGTCTTTACTTTTTCTATCATATTATCCCACATCTCATAGACCAAATGAAGTGTGGGATTATCTGTGTCACAAGCCCTAAGCATACTATAAATAGGCTCGGTGAAATTAAGAATATATGTAATTTTGTCCCACCACATCATTCAAAATAAATTCCTTTGCAGCTTGGGCCTTACCCACATCATCTTCTCTATAAGAGTTCCATTCTTCACTAATAAGCATCGATTACAAAGTACCTTTCAAAAGTTTAAATCTCTTTAACATCACTAGAATAGATGTAAAGCATGTTTCAGTTATAGCAAACAATTTTAGAGGTGAGAAGTGATTAAAAATTGCCAATCTCATTTAGTGATTCATGATAAAGTTCCTAAGAAAAGAAACATCATCAACAACTTGAGTAATCCAATTACATTCAGCATAAGCTAACTCATTTCTTTTAGTGTTTTTGGTAGCACATATGTTCTTCGATGCAAGGTTCTATGTGTGAACAACACAAGGAGTCCAGAAAATTTTAGGAAAAGAAATTTCAACAATCATTCTAGCTCCTTTGCATACAGGAGCATTATCTGTTATAATTTGAACAACATTTTGTTCTCCTACTTCTTTTATAACTTCTATCATCTTATCAACTATATAATGTTTGTTTTTAATCTCATTAGAAGCATTAATAGCTTTTAAAAATATTGGACCCCTTTCACTTGTAGCCATAAAATTAATTAAAGGCCTTCTTGGACATTTGTCCATCCATTATGCTAACACCTTTTGCATTCCAAGTTGATTTAATAGGTTTAAGCAACCTCTCAACTAGTGCCTTCTCTTGTTGTAAGAGAGTTGTCCTCAAGGCATTGTATCCAGGAGGGAGAAAACCATTAAGCATGTTATTTGCAGCAAATGAATAAGAATACACGTAATAGGGAATTCTAGCAAGGTTGAAGGGCAATCCAGAAGAATAAAACATTCTAGCAATGAGAGTTTTGATGTTATCTCTATTTTCTAAATTAAATGCTTTCTCCAGAGGACCAACTTTTCTCTTTTTCAATAAAGAACTATGATGCATTTTTTCTGTAGGCAATGGGACATGCTTAGATTTCACTTTATTTTAGCCAATTCAACAATTGATTTCAATTCAACCAAATATTGATCATTTACACTTGCACACACAAAAATTCCAGTTCTATAAATCCTCAACAAATGAGCTTTAACTCTCGAATAAGAACTTTTATAAACCTTTTGACAAAAATTACAAGACCAACTCTTATTTCCTCCCCCTTTTGAACTTTTATCTAATATGCTAACATAACACCAAAGAGGAGCATGATCATCTTGTACAACATCGGCAAAAACAAACTTACTTGGAATTTTAGAATTGACATTAGAATCTGAACTAGAAGCATTTGGTGTTGACATTATAAATAAATAATTTTTATGCTTATGCAAAAAAAAAAAAAAAGTATATCTATGTTAAATTGTTAATTGTTAAATAAATTATACAAGTTCAAAACTTTAATAGGTTTGAACCTCAGTGCAACAATTGTATACAAAAATAAAATGAATAATTTTGGTGATGACCAAAGCTTGTTGACCTATTTAGGCTTATAGGTTTGTTTATAGGTCTTGTATAAAACAAGTCACGTAAATAGGCTTTCGGGGTAGGCAAACTTTTAAACAGGCCAACTGAGACCTTAGAAAAAAGGTCTATCACAGTAAATAACATAGATTAGACTCAGACCTGCCAAAGTCTAGCCTAATTGGCTAATTTCCACTCCTACTAATGATAATGTTAAATGATTAGAATTTATATTTAGAACTTTATTTTTCTAATGTTGTTTGATTGCGTTATGATTTATGTTTGATGATTTGAAGTTATGTTTGGATAATTTAAGAGTGAATTTCAATATAGTTGAAGTGTATTTTATAATCAATATTTTTCATTGGTTTATTGATTTTACACATAAGCACGGGGATGAGTATATAGGTATCCTATGAGTACTTGAATAGAGATTAAAGTTGTTATCTACATGCGGATATAGGCATTTTTGCAAATAAGGTTATGGAAAAGAGTACTATAATACTCCACCCAACTTTAGCTCTTCAATTATCTTTGCCAACCCTGGATTAGTCTTTACTTCCTCATCGATTTCTATGATACCTTGCCAATATGGTTATAAACAATATCAAACTCATAACATAACCTAACAATTTGGCCACCCAAATTCTATGGGTTTTGGGTGGTGATCCTCTGTTCTAGTAAGTACTGTACGGTTTCCAGTGCTGAATGGTCAGCATTAGGGTCATCAACTCCTCGTAAATCGACTTAGTAAGCGACATATCTTCCAAGGTTTTACTAAAGAGCACTATTGACCATTTCTCCTGTGTCAGGACTGCTCCTATTCCATTCGTAGATGAGTCACATTCAATAGGTGTTAGGAACCAAGAATTAGGAAAGAGAAAGAAAAGAAAGATTTTATTGAACATGATTAAATGAACAAGAGATAGGAGATAAATCTCTCCTCCAAGGGTTTTTCCTTCATAAAGTCTTAACAGGTGAATTCATTTAGATATTTTCATCTGTAGATTGAGCTTTACCTCTTTGTGAAAGGAGTAATCCTTTGTGAAGGGGAAACCCTTGGAGAGAGATTTCTCTCCTATCTCTTGTTTGTTTTATCCTATTCTATAAAATCTCTCTTTTCTTTCTCTTTCCTAATTATTTATTCCTAACAGATTCAACAACATACAGTCCATGATCTTTCCTAATTATTTATTCCTCACAGATTCAACAACATACACTTCATGATCAGCTCCCGAATTTGCTTCATGTCTGGCATATTGTCTTTGATGTAGACAAAATCACGTTTAGTGATTTCAATTCTCCCAACTGTATCCCTTATTAGCCGGTCAACTTCTCTAGTGCACCCACTCAATTCTACATCCTGGTTGCACCCGGCAGGTTGGATCAAAACTGATAGGATCCTCCCCAAAACAGAACCACACGTGGGCAATGTAGAAGACGATAAGAAAAAAAAGAACTCAGAATGATACTATTCCAGATTTGGAAAAGCATACAGAATTATACCCCAAGAAGTGTTCAGAGAATATCTTGCTTCTAAACTTGTTATGAGAGGGGCTATGTTCTTGGCTTCTATTTAGTGTTCACCTCCTGTTGTTTTAAGTGGTGTGCTCAAAATATTTAAGACTAATTCAAGTGGCTGAAGAATTGATTTGGAAAGGTTGACAGCTGAGAAACTATTGAATCATACATGGAAGTGTTCTCAAGATTAAGGTCTGAGGTCAAGGATCACTTAATGAACCTTTTGAATAACAAAGTATAATATCATGTGAAAAGGAGGGGATTAGCATGCTTTTGGGGACAAGCAGAAGTTAAAAAGAAGGAACTTGCTCATTTACTGTATGAACTAGAGATCAAACACAGACTTTGCCATCACCAGGGATTGGGTAGAACTGTAGAAGATGGGGCCGAGAGGAGGCCAGAGATTGTGGGGTGAGACACTATATCAAAGTGGTATTATTGGAGTTCCTTACAGGAGTTTCATGGCCTAATGCTTAAAGGTAGTACTCAGTCCAACAAATGGTTGACAGTTGACTGGCCTAAGCATGTAATAGACTAACCCAACCCTGAGAGCAGGTATCAGAGGAAAATTGATTATTGTAATTTGTAACTGGGAATATCATCGGCAGGATTGTCCTTTTGATATCAAACCTGTAGGAATGAGTTCGAAATCTGCTTGAAAACAAAGTAGTAGTCAAAAAGGAGGGTCCTACTTCCAACCTTGATGTCAAAACTGTCTTTCAGTGGAATGCTATGATAGAATTCATGGTTCAAACTCTGATATATATTGGAAAGCATTTTGTGTACTGGGCAGCAACAAAAACCATGATTTGGAAGTGTATACTAAAAGGAATTAGAAGGGTTATAAGTTAGTTAGTTGGATGATATGGCAGGTCGTTAGCATTTGATGAGATGGTTCATGTGACCAAGGGGGTTTATATAGTTAGTGTGCGCATGAGATAACGGGGTAGGTTCAGTTTGGTATGCCATTTGGCTGGGCCGATAAAGTATTTTCTGAGGAACTTTTGTTCTGGGAGAGGGAGCGATTCTCCTTTTTCCTGCTCATTGATCTTGCTTTTGGAATCAATAAAGCCCTCGTTTGAGTTCTAATTTCTGGTTTCCTAACATTGTATTTCTCCTCTCCTCTTTCTCTAAAACTTGTTTTTCTAATGATTTTTTTTTTTTTTTATATGTAATGGCGGAAGTTTTCCCTTTTATTTTCTTAAAGAATACTTGAACTAAACTATTAATATCTTACACATTATTAGCACAACAATCGGGATGTGAGTGGTGCCAGAGAAACTTATAGGTATTTGCATGATCTACTGCTTTCAGATTATTTGAAATAACTTATTTTCCTACGCAGGTTGAAACAAGTTCATGGAGATCCTTCTTTGCAACTGTCTAACTGTGGAAACCTGGGTTTCTTACCAAAAATCAATGTTTTGTTGCTTTGGAAAAAGTGGCGCAAGGATAGAAGGTGCAAAATTAAATTTGTAACATATGCAGGTATTGTATTGAGTAAGTACTACGTATAATTGCTGGTGCTTAAATATATATTTTCTGGACGAACTATAAAATCGGGATGGTCAAGTGACAATTTTTTTGTGATCAAACTCGTCTATGTTGTCAATTGCGTATTGCTGCCTATGGCAGCACCAGGAAGCGCATAATATAACACGCATATGGTGTGGCAAAAACTCAAAGGAACACATTTAACCTACACTTGGTGTCAACTATGTGAATCATCCTTTTAATTGTTAACAAACCAAAGCCACAACAATGAGCGATACCAAGCCCGGTTTTGATTCACTAATAGTGGTCAGCATTAAAATTTTGAATATAACGATTGAAGTTGAGACAATGACAGCTCAAACAGTGGACACAGCATCTTTTAAGTAATGTGAGTGGCAAGTAGTTCAAATGTTTTTATAACAAGAATTTGTCACGAGTTTATGTAGGGGATGATCATTTAACATAACCTTTAGGGTTGGCTTAGTGGTTGGAAAATTTGGGTAGTATTATAAATTTTTTGGTTCTAATCTTTTTGTTGCTGCTGCATACCAATTTTATTTTATTATTTTTTTCTTTTCAAAACCGAGTAGAATTGTTGATTAAAACGTTTGTAGGATCTCTTCTATAAACTGCATTTTTTTTTACAAAGTTTGAACCCAAAACATAAATAATTTAAATCAGTTCTATTCAGATAATTGGCATGTTATCATTTAATATAAAACATCTTATATTATTTATTAGTAAATAGGTATTGTTTATATAACAACTATTTTCGACCAATAAGACTTGCTATATCAATTAATTTTGAAACTCCCTAATTGAACTAACCACTCAACCAATGACTTATCCTGAGCAGACACAGCGACATATATCTATATCAACTTCGAATTTAGATCCTCTCTATTTTCTTTTATGTCCATTTTTTTTTAAAACTTGTAACAAAATAAATAAAATGAAGATGGTACACACTTTACTCATCCACTTATTAATATTTAACAAGTTATTTTTATACGTAATAAAGATCTTAGCGACAATTCATTGACCAACAAACTAGTTTGTAGAAGAATCAGATGCTTTTTTAATTTTTTTTTTATCAAGAATTGTTACCGAAGTACCTAGTTGTCATTTTAAATGCATCACAACGTGATTTCAAATGAAAAAAATTCTATGACTAATTTCCTAAAATTGTCTTTAGCAACACTCTTGACTTTAATCGCAATCAAATTTGAAGTCTGATGCTTCAATTCAAGACATTCGTTTTGGCTTTGCTCTTCTCTTTCCATAGAATGAAACAGTCGTTTGTTTTTCCTTTCCGTAGAAAGACATCAGTTAATTTTATTCAACTTTTTAAAAGGGAACGAAATATATGATACCCAGGTCAAAATGGAAACTTAACAATAGCAATTTCCACAATCACTAAAAACAGTTAATGGTACTTGCATTAAAATTGTCATGTACTTTCCCTCTCAAAAACCATTAGTCCAGTGCTAAGGATTACATGCCAGAAATGTGGAACTCAATTAGTACACGTGATGCTAAGTGCTATCGCACTACTACGTTTATCGAATATTTTCCATATCTAAAATATTTTATTAATTCAAACGTATAAGCAGCGCCGGCTATAAAATAAAATAAAAAACGAAACAATATAATTAACTCGTGCGAAAAATTAAGCTTAAATAACTCCCTTTACTATAATACCAAGTCTCCTTCCCATTCTTGAATCCAAAAAGGTTACAAAAGTAAAAAAAAAACAAAAAGAAAAAGCCAAAAGCACAGAAAACATCACAACTAGTTCTGAGACACATATCTATCTAACATTATTTTTCTACAGTATTGAAATGAGATGAGACAGTTTGAATTACAACCTTCTAATGAAACTTAAACTAAAATACTTGAAACACAAAACACTAATTGAATACTTGAATAAGTACGCTACAGGCAGAAGGAGAACAAACTGTGATCCCCATCAGAATATAAAATCGTTTGGCAACAATTTTAGACAATGAATGAAACATCCGTTGCCCTACTCAATATTCTGCAATGCGATCAAGCTACAAAAAGGACTCAGCACAAGTTATATCAATTAACCATTTGCATAGTTAATAGGCAATGACAGCAAGAACCTCAATCTATCTTCACTGATGAGAACAAGTAGTGCACAAAGTAGAATGACATAAGGAAGCCGATGGTGCCGGTTGACAACATGATTGCAATGGCCATGAGTAGAGAATAGCCAAGGTAAAGGGTAGCTGAGACAGGTCCACTCAGACTCTGCAGATCGAACACCAAGTAGTTAATGGAGTACAGGAAGACATAAAGAGCGACAGAACCTGACGCAAAGAATGCCTTCCACCACCACCGCCAATCTTCCACGCAGAGATGCATGTAAGTGAGGACCACAGACACTTCAGCACAAACAATAACTAGCAATAGAAGAACAACCAACAGGAAACCAAACACATAATAGAACCTCCCAAGCCAAATACTGGACAGGATGAAGAAAAGCTCAATGAAGAGGGTTCCAAATGGAAGAGTTCCAGCACCAAGAACAAGAAGCCATGATGGGTATTTGCGGGCAGGGATTTCCCTTGGAATCTGGTTAGTCCGCACAGGATACTCAATTGGCTGAGCTTTCGTCCCCATAAATCCTCCAATGAGGGTAAGGGGTACTGAAATGCAGAACCAAAGGAAGAACAACTCAAAATACAAGGAAATGGGTATGGCACCGGTACTGTTGCTGCTCCAGAGAATAAAATTCAGCACTGTAAGAATGACAAAAGCAATTCCAGGATAAAAACATGCAGCTGACCAGGAGATTGATCTCCACCCTTCCGTTGTTCCCTTAATGGTCCTCCATAAGCGCACGCTGACGTAGCCTGCAGCAATTCCCAGGATAAGATATAAAATGATCATCCCTGTTAGTAGCATTCCTCGGGATGCTGGTGACATGAAGCCAAATGCTGCAAAAACAATAGTAACACCGGCCATTCCAAGAATTTGAACCCCATCTCCAACCATCACACAGAGAAGCTTTGAGCAATCAGGCTCCCTAAACACATCACCAACAACAAGTTTCCATCCCGAGAGCTCCTCGTTCATCTGAGCTTGGGTCTCTTTGTCCAGTTCCTCATACCTAGTCAAGTCCCTCCTCACGGTTCTTAGGAAAATGACAAAAACAATACCGGCAAGGAAAAAGATAACCATAAGTGAATTTAAGATCGAGAACCAATGAACTCGGGAACCCTCCATCTTCAAATAAGCATCCCAACGTGATGGCCATCTTATATCGCTTTTCACAAATTCAACCTCGTATGTGAACGATATCCTTTCCTGCTCTCTTATCACTTGATACTTGTCAAGCTCAGCTGGGCAGCTAATGGGAGAAAGAGTATCATACCTCTTGTGCTTCAACATGACTTCAGGATCATATTTAATACTACAAGGTACCACCTGAAAACCGACTATTTCATACCCGGATGCCTTTTTCTTATCAGATTCAGAAATAACCCCCAAACCTTCCTCCCCTGTCCCCACAATTTCAACGCCGCTTCCTTCATATTCATGAACCAAGACCGTGAACTTAAGATGGTTAATGATGTAATCTGCACTGCCATCAGGAGGAGTGTACCCAACAGGGAACCCTGTCCACTGGATTTTAACCCCATTTTGGTTGGTAAACCTCATAACAGGCAAGTTGTCAAGGATCATATTCACTTGATACAGATCCCTCGTCCTTTGTTTGAGTAGCTTCACCTCGTGCTCATTCAACAGGGATGTGGTGCAGAGGTAGACCGTCTCATTTACATTCATCTGGAACCGGTATGGCGAGTTATCAATCTGATCTCCCATCAGAAGCTCTCCAAGATTCTCAGCACTTTTCTTTACGCCCCCATCCGGCTGGCAGTAAGGGAGGCTGTAATATCCGAAGGGAAGCTCGGTTTCAATCGAAGTCAATGAATTAACTTTGGCATATATGAAATCCCTATTCGAGTAAGTGTGCATATAGCTTCCGGGGAGATAAAAACCATTGACAAACTGAGCAAAGATGATGACGAAAAGGAAAACCCAGTGGCAGATGAAGGGTTTTCGCAACTCCATTTCCCTCAATACAATACAATACAACAACAACAGATGCTGAAAACCCTTTCTGTGAATCTTCTAATAAGCTAGCTCCAACACCAACACCAACACCGCTGAAGTCAATACCAAATCTAGACACAAGGGTAAAACAAAATTCAACATCAAATGCCAAAGCTAATAAAAAAAAAAAAAATACAAACCCTGAACCATATATAAACATCAAAGGGTATAACAAAATTCAACACAATTCAAGCTAATAAAAACATAAAAAAGAAGCATGTAAATAACCAAACCCTGAAGCATAATCAAATCAAAGGGTACAAATCAGATCCATCAGTGAACAAAAACAAACACAGATTATTCAATGAAAAAGGCAGATACGGATCACAAAACTAATTAACGGGTTCCACCCACAACCCATAAAAAACAGTAGCATGAACAGCAACCAAAAAAACCCAACCTTTGAATATAGTAACAACATTAAATAAATAAATAAATAAAATAAACAGCCCACAAAACAATTCAACAACAGAAAAGGCACAGAGATCCAAAGTTGCTGAAAGAAGAAAAGGGAAAAAGCGATAGATCGGAACGGCGTCGTTTGAGGGTGAGAGAAGAGAGAAACCCACCATGAAATATTGGCGATATATGAAGCTAAAGAGAGATCGCGATGCAACATATGGTTCTTGTTGTGTTGTTGAAGTCGAAGTTGTGAGTGTGAAAGAGAGAGAGAGAATCAGAAATGTAGCATTGGGTTGGGCATCCTATTCTCGTCTGTTACGTTATGGACTAGGACTAGCCCACTTGAGTCTCATAAATAAAATAATTGATAGTTTATACCATTTTTTTCCTAAACTTTAAATTTTAATTTTAGTTTTTGGATTGTAGTCAATTTTTATTTTTAATCTTTGAATTATTTTCTGTTAATATTTTTGGTGTCAAAATTTTTTATTGTTAAAAATTTTTCAAAAACTAAAACCAAAAGAAAATTTGTTAAAGAACTAAAAATTAAAATTAATAAAGTTTCGGTAGCTAAAATATATTTAATTCTGATGCATTTTACCTTATTTATTTGGGAAATAGTTATCTACGTGGTAACAAAACATAAATCGTTTAACCCCAAGCGTGTGATTCAATGGTAAGGGTTGATCCACGCTTAAGCAAGGTCAGGGGTTCGAATCCTGTTTTGTGTATGCAGCCGCGTTAAATCTTGGGGCTAGCTATCCCACCTTTTGAGGTGCCTCCAACGTGGAGATTAGTCACTACTGTCCGGGCTAGCTATCCCACCTTTTGAGGTGCCTCCAACGTGGAGATTAGTCACTACTATCCCACCCTTTGAGGTGCCTCCAACGTGTCGGCGGTGGATACTCTAGGAACAAACCTAAAAAAAAACATAAATCCTTTACAAAAAGGAGAAAAAAAGAAAAAGTCACCTAAAGTTAGTTGTGTTATTATATTATATATATATTTTTAATTTATCACCAAGTTAGTTTTATCAAAAATTAAATCATATTTTTCTTTGGGGAGGATTAACAGACATATGCACTGAGTCATGGTTCAATATTTTTATAATGCTTAACATATTTATATTATCAAATATAAGGAGAAAAATACATCATGTGCTCCTTTATCATGAACTAAGAGATTAATTAGATAATGTGAAAGATTTTAAAAAGGAATTTATAATAGAATAACAAAATAAAACAAATAATGAGAGAGAATGAGTGATTTGAAAATAGTTACAAAAATAAAATAATTTAGACAAAAGTGAATAAAAAAGCTATATAACCTTTTTTAATTTTAGAAAAATGAACAGAAGATTCATTAATAAATAAAGGTATAAAAAAATTACCAATTAATACATTTTTTTAAAGAAGTAAAATTAACAATTATCATTGATAACATAGTGAACTATATAAAGAGGAACAATACATGAAGAAATATGATTATAATCCTTCAAACTAGATTAAAAGTCAGTTATGTTGACTAACATATGAACAAGTGAATTTATTTGTGTGAAAATAAAAGTAATGTCACAATTTTTTAAACTATTTATCAACAACCTACAACTACCAATGATGCACCCAAACTCAGTAAAGTCCTTCACCTGCAACCCAAACAATTTACTACCCGATCAGGGACGGAGCCAGGATTTCAATACTGGGGGGCCGAGAATAAATAATATATAATTTATAATAAATGAAAATTAAAGTATCAAAAGCATATAAAAAAAATATAAAAAAAAATTAAAATTGTTGGGGGGGCCGTGGCACCCGTAGGTCCCCCCTTGGCTCCGTCCTTGTACCCGATGGCAATCAAATTCAAATATTACATCATCCAGATTCAACTCTTTTAACCATCTGAGAGCTTCTTTCATAGCACAAGCTTCACACTCATGCGGCTTCAGAAGGAAAGGAAAGTTGCTATTGGACCATATACTCCATAAGATCATCACAATCTCAATAATTTATTGCTACTCCCCACATCTTAAAACTCAAAAGTCGTATTCTTAAAAACATTAGCTTTATTCATCAGGGAATTACCTTACTAGATGAACACATGGACCAACATTGTTGGGCTTTACTACAACTGATATGCAGATGCAAAACACTCTTCAATTGATCTTCACACAACACACACAAAGCTAAGCAAGGCATTCCCTGAATTTGCATATTCAATCTCGTGGGAAGAACTTCACGACAGACTTTCCATAAAAACGCTTATAGTGTGTTTGGATGAGGAATTTTACAAATTCAAGGAATTTTAAATTTTTGGTATTTGAATTACTTTGATTTCAATTTCTATCATTCTTAAAATATTTTGTTTGGATGAGTCAATTCAAATTTCTTAAATTTTAAATTATTAGGTTGAATATGATAATTTGATTCCATCATAATAAAATTGATTTTAAAAATATATTTATATGTTGAGATTTTTAAATTAAATTTTATAAAAATAAATATTAATTCATTTTTAAATATTTAATAATTTTAAAAATTAATATTAGATAATATTTAATAATTTTAAAAATTAATATAAGATAATATTTAATAATTTTAAAAATATTTTTGAATATTCAATAATTAAAAGAATAAAGAGATAAGATAAAATATACAAGTGAAATAAGAAAAACAAATATGAGCAATTTCAAATTCTCCCATTTTTGGGAGAATTTGAAATTTTACTATTTTAAGGAATTCCACAAATGCTTGGATTTCAAATTCTTTGGTAAATTCATCATCTAAACAAAGCATTTCACCTCAAAAAATTTGAAATTCTTCAAATAAATGAATTACCCTATATAAATTCCTCATCCAAACACACCATTAAACTTTGGAGGGGATTTGAATCCTCCAAATATTACTCCAAGACTTTTCCTCCTTGAGATGATTAACATTCACCATTTGATACATATAGTTGTTATACGCAGATCTTACAGAAAAACTACCATCCTTATAACTTCATCTCCAAATACGATAATCTCGCCTGTGGACCTTCGTGAAGGGAATACTGAGAATGTCCTTACAATCTTTCTAATCAAATAACGCATTATTCAACTTTGCCTTCCAGCAGATCCTCTCCTTATCGACAAGCTCACTCACCCTCATATCCTATAGCCCATTTATAACCTTGGATCGTAAAAAGCACTTACCCTTAAACTTTCTAAGTTGAGGATCATTCCAAACAAATATGTTATCACCACCTTCCATCTCCAACCCACTTTAATTAAGGTCTTCGAGCTCCAAATACTTCTCCACGCATAACTAGGATTATGCCTCAGATTGGCTTTGAAGAAATCTAGATTTTAGGTAATATTTAGCTTTTAGCAATCTACTCACAAGGGTATCGAGCCCACTAATGAGTCTTTAAGCCTGCTTACTTAGCATGGCCAAGTTAAAATCCTGAATATTCTTAAAACCAACCTGCCATAGTTTTTCTGAATTAACAACAAGATTTTTCCACCTTAACCAATTTATCCCTCTATCTAAACCAGTTTCAAACCCCACCAAGAGGAGTTCATCATCTTCTCCAATTCCAAGCATAAAGATTGAGGAAAGGGGTAGATACTCATAGTATAGGTAGGGATAAATTGCAAAACAACCTTAATCAGAATCTCCTTGGCCTCTAAAAAAAGGATATGTTATTCCAAGATTGTATTCTATGCCACATATGGTCTTTGACATATGTAAATTCCCCCTTCTTGTTTCTACCAATTAAAGAAGGAAGACCCAATTATCTACCAATGTGGCTACACTCCTTGACCTCCAAAATGTTAGTAGTGTTTTGATGAGTTTTTTTGAGGCAAGCGCACCAAGTCACTATAGTACAGAAATTGAATAAGGGTTGTCGAACCTCAGAAACTTGGAAGATACTTACAACTTATGATATCCTAGTCAAAGCTTGAAATAAAAAGATTTACAAATTTTATAAACATGATATTGCTCATATTTCAATATTGGAATTATAAAAAGATAACAACAAAGCAGTAGTAAAAATGAAAGATAACATAATGCAAAGTTATTGGAATTGAGTTTCATCAATTTCACCCTTATGTTCTCCTAAGATCATTTATATATGATTTCTATCATCCAATGTTATTGAGTTCATTAAGGTTATTCCAAATCAATTCCTTGCATTTAGAAATTATAAGGGGTCTAACTCAATAAATGATTCCTTTATTTATCAAATTAGAAATCTTGCATTAAGTTTAAGAACTTGTTTAACTAACAACTCTAAATCTATTCCTAGTCTTTAGAGTTGTTAGGTGATTTGATTCAAAACTAGATTTAGAAAATGTTTTCCAACCAAAATCCAAATCAAATTTCAAAGATGAGTGATCAAGTCACCTTAACATTAAGAACAAAATCAAAAACACTAACACTAAATAATAGGTAAATCAAAAGGAATACATGGCGATGAGAGCTAATCCAAAATACATGGAGAAGGTGTAGAAGAAAGAAAGAAAGATCCTAAAACCCTCGTTCCCAACTGATTTTTGGACTTCTTCCTCACTCTCTATTTTTTGCACAAGTCTTTTTTTTTTTTGTTTCTTCCACTTTTATTTTCTCCTCAACTTTATATATGTGTAGTAAAATAAAACAAAGCATGAAGGAGGGAGAGTAAACTACTTAGCCCTTTCCAAATGATTGAGCCGTTTGGAGGATTCTTCATAGTGAAGCAACTTAAATGGTTGAGCCCTTTTGAACCCACTAAGCCCTTGGAGTCAGATTTTTCATCCTTCTTTGGACCCAAATCGCTCAACCCTCTCCCAACGCTGAGCGATTCTAGGTTTTCTCCAATCCTTCTTTGATACCTACAATGCATAAACCCAAAAATTTATAAATAAAACTACAACCTTTTGATTCTTTCTAAGTTTATAGGGGTAAATGAAAAGAAAATATTTTAATTCAAGCTAGATAAGTGATAAAATGATTCAACATTTTAGGTACAATAAACACTTATCCTATTTTTTCCTACCATAAAAGATTTCTAACTTATCCATATTGATCACTAGCCTTTATGCCCTTTCATAAGTCCTCATATACTTTTAACCCCCCAAGCCTCTTTATCAGTAGAACGAAAGAAAATGAAACAATCATCTACAAACTTTAAATGACTTATACTAGGAGTATTTTTGCATATACGAACACCATACAGATCACCACTATCTTCCACTTTTTTAATCAACCCTGAGTAACCCTCCATACCTAGAATAAATAAGTAAGGCGACAAAGGGTCTCCTTGTCAAAGACCCTTACTAGGAATAATAAGACCTGAATTCTTATCATT